ATGGCGGATTTAACGTAAGGCGATGCGTTCGTAAGGCGGGGGTCCACTGTACAGTGGACCCCCGGTATTCGATGGCATCAGTATTCGATAAATCCGGTATTTGATGCATTGTATTGCAAAAATTTTGCCTCGGTATCCGATTGAAAACCCGGTATTCAATACGATTCGTACGAGACGTGTCCACGTGTGGTCTGAACTGCCCCGTGTATGCCAGTATTTACAAGCCAGCCAATGTGCGCGCATCTAAGGATACATTCGGTACATTCCATGTTATCCATATTATCACTGTTTTTGGTGCTTCTTTCTGCAAAATAAGTCACCATGGGCCCCAAGAAAGCTTCTAGTGCCAACCCTTCGAGAAAAAAGGCGCTAATGACTATTGAACTGAAGAAACAGCTAATTGCAAAGTACGAAAGTGGAGTGCGTGTGTCGGAGCTGGTCAGGTTGTATAATAAACCCCAATCAACCATCTCTACTATAGTGACCAGGAAAACGGCAATCAAGGAAGCTGTTCTTGCAAAAGGTGCAACTGTGATTACAAAACAGCGACCGCAAGTGTTAGAAAATGTTGAGAGACTGTTATTGGTGTGGATAAATGAAAAACAGATAGCAGGAGATAGCATCTCTCAAGCGATCATTGCCTGCAACTAGTGCTGATGTGAGTGAATTTAAGGCCAGCAAAGGTTGGTTTAAAAGATTTAAGAATTGTAGTGGCATACATAGTGTGATTAGGCATGGTGAGGCTGCCAGTTATGTTGTGCGACAGAGGTCCAGTGACTCTCAAGCTGGTCCTAGTGGCATTAAAAGAAGAAGGGAAGTAACCCCGGAAAAGGACTTGCTACCTCAAGTCCTAATGGAAGGGGATTCCCCTTCTAAACACTAACACCTCTCCCCTTCTCCCATCCCATCAATCATCACCAGATCTTCGTTAAAGGTAAGTGTCAATTATTTTATTGTTATTGTAATTATTCTATTGCATTGAACTTAATATTTCATGTAGTAAAATTTTTTTTTTCATACTTTTGGGCGTCTTGCACGGATTAATTTGATTTCCATTATTTCTTATGAGGAAAATTGATTCGGTTTTCGATATTTTCGGTATTCGATGAGCTCTCAGGAACGGATTAATATCGAATACCGGGGGTCCACTGTATATATCATGTTTCTATGTTATTTATATTGTTTATGTCATATTAGATGAACTGTGATATAAAAATAAGCTGTATAGATGATATTAGCGATATTATTCATGAAGCATTTTGCCCGGTCTCCAGACAAACTCTCGTCCATTGTCGACACCGCCCATACCACTACATGAATGACATATTTTATTCATTCTAGAGTATATATCATGTTTCTATGTTATTTATATTGTTTGTTATGTCATATTAGATGAACTGTGATAGATAAATAAGCCGTATAGATGATATTAGTGAAATTATTCATGAAGTATTTTGCCCGGTCTCCAAACTCTCGTCCACCGCCGACTCCACCCATACCACTACATGAATGACATTTTATTAATTTTAGAATATATATCAGGTTTCTATGTTATTTATATTGTTTATTATGTCATATTAGATGAAGTGAGATAGATAAATAAGCCGTAGAGTTGATATTAGCGAAATTATTGAAGTACAGAATTCCACTGGAATGGGTTAATTGCATTTCAATTAATTTAAACGAGGAAAATTGACTCTGCAAACGAGCAAATCCAGTTGCGAGCTAGGTCATGGAACGGATTAAACTCGCAAGTAGAGGTTCCACTGTACTTTTTTATTATATTTAATTAACACATCGGTCATTTCCCACCAAGGTAGGGTGGCCCGAAAAAGAAAAACCATCACCATCATTCATTCCATCACTGTCTTGCCAGAGGTGCAATTACACTACAGTTATAAAACTGCATCATTAACACCCCTCCTTCAGAGTGTAGGCACTGTACTTCCCAAATCCAGGACTCAAGTCCGGCCTGCCAGTTTCCCTGAATCCCTTCATAAATATTACCCTGCTCACAATAACAGCACATCAAGTCCTAAAAACTATTTGTCTCCATTTGCTCCTATCTAACACACTCACGCATGCTTGCTGGAAGTCCAAGTCCCTCATACATGAAACCTCCTTTACCCCCACTCCCTCCAACCTTTCCTAGGCCGACCTCTACCCGCCTTCCCTCCACTACAGATTTATACACTCCTGAAGTCATTCTGTTTTGTCCTGCCCTCTCTACATGTCCGAACCACCTCAACAACCTCTCCTCAGCCCTCTGGATAGTTTTGGTATTCCCGCACCTCCAAATAATTTCCAAACTACAAATTCTCTGCATTATATTTACACCAGACATTTCCATCAGACACGACATCTCCACTGCCTCCAGCCTTCTCCTTGTTGCAACATTCATCACCCATGCTTTGCACCCATATAAGAGCATTGGTATAACTATACTCTCATACATTCCCCTCTGTGCTTCCATGGATAAAGTTCTTTGTCTCCACAGACTCCTAAGTGCACCACTCACCTTTTTCCCCTTGTCAATTCTATAATTCACCTCATCTTTCATAGCTGCTGACATGTCCACTCCTAAATATCTGAATACATTCACCTCCAATCTGATATCCAATCTTTCGTTACCTATTTTTTTTATCCTCATCACCTTACTCTTTCCTATATTCACTTTTAATTTTCTTTTACATACCCTACCAAACTCATCTGCCAACCTCTGCAACTTCTCTCCAGAATCTCCCAAAAGCACAGTGTCATTAGCAAAGAGCAACAACTCCCACTTTGTGTTAGATTCTTTATCTCTTAATCTCACACCTCTTGCCAACACCCAAGCATTCACTTCTCTTACAACCTCATCTATAAATATATTAAACAACCACGGTGACATCACACATCCTTATCTAAGGCCTACTTTTACTAGGAAATAATCTCCCTCTCTCCTACACATGTGTACTCTGACCTGAGCCTCACTAGTCTTGTAAAAACTTTTCACTGCATTCAATAACCTACCTCCTATTCCATACATCTGCAATATCTGCCACATTGCCCCCCTATCCAACCTGTCATATGGCTTTTCCATAAATGCCACAAAAAACCTCTTTACCCTTATGTAAATACTGTTTGCCTATATGTTTTACTGTAAACACTTGGTTTACACATCCCCCCTACCCTTCCTAAAGCCTCCTTGTTCATCTGCTATCCTACTCTCCATCTTACTCTTAATTCTTTCAATAATAACTACCATACACTTAACCAGGTATACTCAACAGACTTATTCCCCTATAATTTTTGCACTCTCTTTTGTCCCCTTTGCCTTTATACAAAGGAACTATGCATGCTCTCTGCCAATCCCTAGGTACCTTACCCTCTTCCATAGATTTATTAAATAAAAACACCAACCATTCCAAAACTATATCCCCACCTGCTTTTAGTATTTCTATCTTTATTCCATCAATCCCAGCTGCCTTACCCCTCCCCTTTCATTTTAACCACTGCCTCACGTACTTTCTCCACATTCACAACTCACTCTTCCTCACTCCTACAAGATGTTATTCCTCCTTGCCCTACACACGAAATCACAGCTTCCCTATCTTCATCAACATTTAACAATTCCTCAAAATATTCCCTCCATCTTCCCAATACCTCCAACTCTCCATTTAATAATTCTCCTCTCCTATTTGTAACTATCAAATATATTCATTCCCTAGTCTTCCTCAACTTATTAATCTCACTCCAAATTTTTTTCTCATTTTCAACAAAATTTGTTGATAACATCTCACCCACTCTCATTTGCTTTATTTTTATATTGCTTCACCACTCTCTTAAGCCTTTGACTGTTTACATCGTATATATATATATATGTCTTACGCGCCACTGTTTCCGACGTATTTAAACGACGGATTAAAACGCCGACTTTGAGGTGTATTTTCTAATAGTATTATCGTTGTATTCTCATTTTCATGGTCCCGCGTGATAAAATGGAAAACACATTGCAGAAATAGAGATGATTTTGATTAGTTTTACGATGAAAACGACCTTAAAATTGAGCTCAAAGTAGCGGAAATGTTCGATTTTTACCAATGTTCAAGAGTAAGCAAATCACACCACATGTCTAATATTCTTTCACTAGTGCACTGATATTATTTATACCATTTTTACAATAATGCAGTAGTTTGCATAACAGTAAATTTTGTATTTTTTGTATGAATAAAAAATAAAAATAGAAAGCAATAGTAATATAAGAGGGGCTTAGAGACGTGACTAATGAACAGAGGATATGCTATTTTAGTGCCAAGAATGTCTACACTGTTTATTCTAGAACCTATTTTGAAACTGGCATCTTTTTTAATTTCCATGAAATTGGCCAAATTGCCAATTTCTGACCACTTTATTGGGTAGTTCAAATCAGTAAATGGGCAGTTTCTTGTACTCAACTGATAGAAAAATGGAGCTCTAAAGAAATAGCTATGAGTTTGGTCAACTGGAACAACGGAATTGGCCAAAAACAGGGCTCAAGTCAGCGAAATCGCCGATGCGTATATGTCGTTGAGACCGCTAACTTCGCGGGAGCGTAATTCCATGAGTTTTCAACCAAATTTCGTACTTTTGGTGTCATTACCATCGGAAAAAGATTCTCTATCATTTCATAAGAAAAAAATTTTTTTTTTTTTTTTCCAAAAATTTTGTAACATAAAATGAGTTTCAGAAAGAGGCTTGCGACAATCAAAGGGTTAATTATCAGCTTCACATATTGGAGGATGCTGAACTAACTTCCAAAAGTCTCAGAGTTAGGACAGTGTCAGAGGTCACTTCAAAGTACTTTTGAAGCAGGGCTTTCGTGTAAAGTTTTTACAACTGAATTTTAAACAAGTTGGTGTGATCAGACACCAGAAAAACATTCAAAGACCAGGTCAGTTTTTTTCTGAACAAAATTATTAAGACTCCGGTTCGTTTGAGGTCTGGTACATTTGAACATCGAGGTTCCACTTTATACTTACCCAGGCTGATAAGATTTGCACACATTCGCATCCTTATCCCAGCCACAGTATGGGTCATGAGAGCAGCGCAGACAGCTGTCATAGCGTCCATGACACATGAACAGGTCCACTTGTCGTACTCGAGCATCAGATGACACATATAAAGACTTGTGCTGCAAAAACAATTATTTGAGTAAAAAAAAATGGCATTATTTAACAATCACAAAATTTGTCCATCAAGGACTTCTATAGTTCTTGATGGAACAGTACAGTACATGTACTCTCAACAATATTTCTAGCATACTGTACAAAGTAAACAATTTACTTTCATACCAATATACATCATGCAAATTATTTATTTAAATATCATCAGCATTTCCTGCACTTTAATCACTGAGAAATACAAAACCAATTTCCACACTGTACATCTCTACATGCAATATCTCACACACTAACATTGAATCACAAAACATTATTTTTACAATTTTTTAATGGGCACTGAACTGGTGTCCTTCATTGCAGTTGCAAGTCCATAGCTATACTACTAACTCAGCCATAATGTATAAAAAGATTTGTCAATATAACTGTGTAATTGCAAGAATGCCAGTTCAGTCCCTAGTATTTCTTACACAATTTGTTACTTTCATCATAAAGTAAGATTCTTCTTTCATACACATGACAGTCAAGTTGATACTGTACATGCGGTGTGGCAGAGTCAGTATGGTTTTGCAGTGTAAAAATAATAGATGGAGAGCAGAGTATATGGAGAGGAAGAGAGAGGATAAGAGTGGCAAGGGAGAGAGATTAACAAGATGAAGCATGCAGAACAAATGGACATAGCAGTTAAAAACAAATGAGGGGCAATGTTAGATAGGGAAGGTGGAGGTAATGGAAACATGGAGAGGTGATTTTGATTTGTCGAAAGTTAGTGATGAAGGGGAGGTTATGATTTCATGCAGGGACGGATAACATCATATTACAAGGAAGGAGGAGAAGGTGCAGGTTGGAAAGTGAGAGGCTCACCTTCTATAGGCACAAGAGGTGGTAAGACTTTTTTAAGAACAATAAGTAACACTAGCTAGAGAAATGGAAAATGTTCAGCTCAAATTTAATGTATCATACAGACTCCAGAAGAGACAGAGGGAGCAAACAATTATATGAAATTGAGAGATCCAAAATATTTCTTTTCATACGCAAAAACGACATCTAGTATCAGACCTTTGTTAAAAAGAGATGAAATATATGCTGATGACAAAAAAATGAATGAAATACTTAAATCTCAACCCAAATGAGTTCATGAACAAGATGCAAAACATCAGACATCTCCATAGCTGATATAAACCGTACACCCACTTCACTTACAAGAAAAAAACTGATTGCATGCCTATGCATTTTGCCCCAGGCACCGACTCGTGAAACTCCATTATCATCAGGAATTGCACTGCATGAAGCCATTATCATGTGCTTTAAATATTTTATGGAAACTGAAGTTATCCCATAATTATTAAAAATCACTGAAAAAGCCTCCATTCCACAAAGTTGGCAGAAAAGTGAACCCACGTCGTACTGGCCCACCATTGTGAGCGAGAACCACATGATGCCTTAACCCACAGGACCACCCAATCCTACAAGAACCAAGCACCCAGCCAGGCTAGGTGTTTTACTCTTGGTCTGAGGATATACGGAGGTGTGGAAGCTTTCAAGCTAATTTCATTTTCATCCCTGTTCGGTGTACTAGCCTATGAGCAGCATATATATACATGTATTATTGTAACCCCTAGGTAGTAGGTTGGCAGACAACAACCACCCAGGGAGGTACTACCGTCCTGCCTAGTGAGTGTAAAATGGAAGCCTGTAATTGTTTTACGTGATGGTAGGATTGCTGGTGTCCGTTTTTCTGTCTCAAACATGCAAGATTTCAGGCAAGTCTTGCTACTTCTACTTACACTTAGGTCACATTACACATACATGTACAAACATATATATACACACACCCCTCTGGGTTTTCTTCTATTTTCTTTCTAGTTCTTGTTCTTGTTTATTTCCTCTTATCTCCATGTGGAAGTGGAACAGAATTCTTCCTCCGTAAGCCATGCGTGTTGTAAGAGGTGACTAAAATGCCGGGAGCAAGGGGCTAGTAACCTCTTTTCCTGTATATATTACTAAATGTAAAAGGAGAAACTTTTGTTTTTTCTTTTGGGCCACCCCGCCTCGGTGGGATACGGCCGATGTGTTAAAAGAAAGAATATTGTAACCACAAACAAATGGTACTGATTAATAACAACTCTTCACTAGCCAAGGAGTCTAGCCCGTGTTATACTGGCCCACCATTGTGAGCGAGAACCACACGACACCAGGCTCTGGCTTATGTCCTAGATCACATTCCCCCACAACCATTGGTTTTCTTCTCTGATTCCCAATTTTCCCTGGCACTTTTGTGCTCTGCCCGTCCACGGTCACTGCGCATCTTTGTTCGTCGGACACAATCTCTCCTCCTGCACTTCTTGCGGAGCCCAGGTTGGAGCATCTCCCTTCGGTGGGTACCCACCCATGTTGGAATCCGAGGCAATGAAGTGGCAGATCGGGCAGCCTCCCTCGCACACACACTTCCTACTATTACCCCTCTTACTCTGGGCCACAGACTTCACAAGGGCTATCTGGAAGGGAATCTGCCATCAGTGGCAAGAGGGCCTGGCACACTCCCTCTCTTCTTCGGCATTGGGGTCTGTCTGAACTTTTAATGGCCCCTGCCCTTGGGCTCGCCATCCCAACCGCTCGGTGGACGTTACACCGACTCGCCTTTGAGTATGGCACTCAAGACTGGCAGCTCATCTGTACCACCTTCGGATGACAGACTCTCCGTACTGCCCATGGTGTCCCTCACAGCCTGAGAGGGTGGAACACTTTCTGCTGTGGTGCCCACATTATCACTCTGCACGGACTACTCTCTGTGCGGCCTTGTGCACGCTTGGGGTGCACACTTTCACTCTACCTGTCCTTCTCAATGGGGAGGGGTTTCACCCTCTGGACCATAAGGAGATATTGGCCTGTACCTGCTCCTTCCTGCTGGCTTCAGGGCGTTTCAGGGACATATGATACATAGTTATTAGTCAAAACATTCTTCCACTTTGGTCGAAGTCCCCTCTCCTAGCACTGGATGGCCAGGCTCGATACGGCGTATGCTGCCAGTGTCCCTGAAACCCAACGGAAGAAAAAGAAGAACCACATGACACCTTAACCCACAGGACCACCCACAAAAACCAAGCACCTAGCCAAGCTAGGCGTGTTACTCTTGGTCCGAGGACATACGGAGATGCAGGAGCATTCAAGCTAATTTCATTCTCATCCCTGTTTGGTGTACTAGCCTGTGAGCAGCTCACAATGGTGGGCTAGTACAACATGGGTTCGAATCTTTGGCTAGCAGTGTTGTTATTGATCAATACCACTCGTTCGTGGTTACAATAATATATGTATGCTGCTCGTAGGGTAGTACACCAAACAGGGATGAGAATGAAATCAACTTGAAAGATCCCACACCGTATGTTCTTGCACCAAGAGTAATACACATAGCTTGGCTGGGTGCTTGGTTCTTGTAGGATTGGGTGATTCTGTGGGTTAAGGCGTCATGTGGGTCTCGCTCACAATGGTGGGCCAGTACAACATGGGTTCAAATCCTTGGCTAGCGCAGTGTTGTTATTGATATATATATATATATATATATATATATATATATATATATATATATATATATATATATATATATATATATATGCACCTACCATCCGACTTACAACCTGCTCGACTTACGACCACTCGACTTACGACCGTGTTTTTTATGCCAAATTTCTGGGAAATAAACAACTATTTATGTTGTACACAGTGTTTATCCTAAACCTTACAGTATAAAATACAGTACTAACAGCATAAAAAGTAAAGTAAAATATGAAATACCAAAATAAAACAATAAAATAAAGTCATTACAAAAATGTTTTGTTGATATTCAGTAGTAAAGTTCGACTTATGACCATTTCGGTTTATGACTAGTTTCTCGGAACCGAACTCGGTCGTAAGTCGGATGGTAGGTGTGTGTTTGTGTGTGTGAGTTATATATATATATATATATATATATTATATATATATATATATATTATATATATATATATATATATATATATATATATATATATATATATATATATATATATATTTTTTATTTATTATCACACTGGCCGATTCCCACCAAGGCAGGGTGGCCCGAAAAAGAAAAACTTTCACCATCATTCACTCCATCACTGTCTTGCCAGAAGGGTGTTTTACACTACAGTTTTTAAACTGCAACATTAACACCCCTCCTTCAGAGTGCAGGCACTGACTTCCCATCTCCAGGACTCAAGTCCGGCCTGCCGGTTTCCCTGAACCCCTTCATAAATGTTACTTTGCTCACACTCCAACAGCACGTCAAGTATTAAAAACCATTTGTCTCCATTCACTCCTATCAAACACGCTCACGCATGCCTGCTGTTAGTCAACTCCCACTTTGTGTGTGATTCTTTATCTTTTAACTCCACGCCTCTTGCCAAGACCCTCGCATTTACTTCTCTTACAACCCCATCTATAAATATATTAAACAACCACGGTGACATCACACATCCTTGTCTAAGGCCTACTTTTACTGGGAAATAATTTCCCTCTTTACTACATACTCTAACTTGAGCCTCACTATCCTCGTAAAAACTCTTCACTGCTTTCAGTAACCTACCTCCTACACCATACACTTGCAACATCTGCCACACTGCCCCCCTATCCACCCTGTCATACGCCTTTTCCAAATCCATAAATGCCACAAAGACCTCTTTAGCCTTATCTAAATACTGTTCACTTATATGTTTCACTGTAAACACCTGGTCCACACACCCCCTACCTTTCCTAAAGCCTCCTTGTTCATCTGCTATCCTATTCTCCTGTCAGCATAGTTGCTGATCCCTGTATTCCCAGTATTATATAGCACAGCATATCAGTATCATCCATGTGCTTTAGATACGAGATCCCTTGTAGGCCTGTGGCTTTGTGTGACATCACGGGATACAGATGTGTGGGCTCATGCCCCTGCCCCGGCCTCACTCGGTGGCAGACCATTCAGCGGACAGGCAAGGCAGCTGGGCTCCATCCCTCA